CCACGTCCCTGCTCGGGTAGTACTGCATGGGCGCCAAACAGCCTCTGGGCGTAAAGATGACAGGAGCCTCTGTGTCACCAGGTTCAACCCAGACGCTCTTCCGCTGCTTCATGGCCTTGTCTGCTTGCTGGCGGACGTCGAGGTCACACCAGCTCTTCCACTCGGCTGCGCTGCCCCGGATATACATGCTCTGGCGCGCGATCTTGATCATCCGAGCTCCCAGACGGATGTGTTTTCGCAGCCAGGGGTCGAACGGGATGAAAGCTGCCGAATCTTCGTTGCCGGCCGCCGGAGCCGTTTCTGATGAACCGTTGCAACCGCTTGTTTCTCTGCTGGTGGTAAGCTCTGTAGCAGCCATGCTGGTTTTTTCGTTCTGGCCCCCGGTCTGTTTGCTCCATCCGAGGTATTCGGCCATGTCAACGTGTGGGAATTCTGCCTTCCGGGTAGGTCGCAGTGGCACGACGAGGATGGCCAGGTTTTGGGACTGCGCAACCTCTTTCATTGCCTTGATGAGCATTTCAGCAACATTGTAGCTTCTCCAGGCCGGGAGGACGGCGATAGCTAGGGCGGAGAGGGCGTTGGGCGGCTCTGTCAAAGTCCAGCTGTCCATGTCCTTGATCTGGTCGTGAGTCAGGGCGACGGGCTCGAGCTTCTTCTTCGTATCCTCTCGAGCGATTACCTGGTGGACACCACGAGCCAGAATGGTATCGAAACCTCCATCTGGCAGTGTTTGCAGCACTCTTGCGAAGTCCGATCCCTTGCTGTCGCCCCGGATGCCCGCCAGCTCCCTCCAGAAGAACGGTATGCAATTGCCGTTTCCGACGATAGTCTCAGTGCCATCTAACGTATGGACGGCGACAAGCTGGCATTTGGCAAGCTGGGGAAAATTGAACAGCCTGTCGAAATAGCGCTGAGTGGTTATGGCTCCGTCCAGGAACTCGGGCCACATAAATATCAACGGACAGTCTTCTTTCTGTAGGAGGGCCAGGAGGTCCGGTCTCTGTGCTCCGGTGAACACGGTGATCGTGCCACGATCCTTTGTATCCTCGTCGACAGGCATTTTTTAGATATAACGGTGTCTTTAGCGAGAAGGGGGCTTTGGTCGTGGGCAGTTGGGTGATGACAGGCCTACTCCTTTGTCAACGCGAAAGATACCAGCTGACCAGCTCGATATACTTATGTGTTATTATGGGATAGCGATAGTTACGTGGACAATATGGCTTCAACCGTGGAAAATTTTTTGGGACCTTCTCTTTCCGAAGGCCTGCAGAGGTGAAGATTGTTTGTAGGAGCCGCTGAGAGGCGGGAAGCAGCAACATGCCGACAATCCTTACATATGGAGAGGATCTGGCCGAATTTCCATCTCTGATGGATTTCCAGTGGATAACTAATGAATGCAGCACAATTGACTGTGGTCCTCGACGAAAAGGGGGCTACTTTTCCTCCGTCCTACGGAGTACTGTGTTGCGACTCGAGAGAATGGAGGGGACAGGGATCAACATCCATGTAGCTGTCACTCGCGGCATTGCAATCCCAACCAGGAGTCACCCATAACTGTCGGCGAGCTTTAATCGCTAGTTAGTTAACCCGTGGAGCCTTGATGTGACAGGTCCAGAAGTTTATAGACTGCCCAGCCACCTGCACGCCGTGCTGCTCGGAGCATATTTCGTCCCAGCTGGTGTCCACCGTGATTGGAACTGGCTGGCGTTGCTCAGGTAGCGAAGTAGCCTGCCTCTGCCGTCCTTTGTAGAAACTCATACTCGCCAGCTAGCCTACGCTGTCCATCTCCATCATCGCGCTCAACCTGCCGCGGCTGTTCCTGCGATGCACCTAATCCCTCTGGTAAATAGATGTAACTAACTAGTTAACTGACTAACTTGTGAATCGAATTTCGTCATCGACAAACGTCACTGAGCCTTAGGCCCTCTTTCTTCCTCTTTCAGTGCAAGTGGCGACTTTGACTACGTTGACTTCATCCACTTAACTAGTTATTGCAAATACATCGACATATTGATACAGCAATCAAGGTCAACAGTGACTGATATACCCGGCTGTTTCAGCAACCGCCCCGGCTCAGGCCACTTTCCCAAGATATCCAGACGTTGATCTCGCGCGCATCAGAACTTGAAAAGGCCAGCCCGCGCTTCCTGCTCTGCGTGCTCTTCAAGCAAGGATGCCCATCACCATGGCACTCAAGCCCGAGCAAAAGAAGGGGTTTTCCTCCTCCGACTCCTCGAACATACTCTCTCCCCAGACCCGGCCAACCGAGCGTTCTTCTAGCCCTGGTGACGCGTGTCCTCCTTTCTGGGCTCCTGGAGATCGACCTGGCTACAAGGGCGTCCTGGACCGGCACAGGCGAAAGATGCGTCTATTTAGAAGCATACGTCTGGACGCGAAGCAGTTGCGGCACGTCCTCACGTTCATGCAGCATAACTATAGCCCCGGGGGGGTCGAGTGGACGCTGATGTCCTCTTTGCCTACGTTCCCAGGACCTTCGAGGGTGCGGCCACCACAAAAACCATTGCCGGCCAAGCACTGTTTCATGCCATCACCCCTTCTCTCGATGCTATATTTCAAACGTGAGCTTCAGCTTCTTTCTCTCTGTCTTGTCTGTGTGATCCCTTGTACGGAGTACTAATTGTTGTTAACTAGCACTCATAGTAACGTCTTGGTGCTGAACAAGTCTCCACGATATATCGTGTTTGAGTTCTTTTGGAACGGTAGCCCGCCAGTTGTACCTGTTGAATTGCAGGACCTGCCTAACATCAAATTAACCCATGAAGAACCAGAGGAGATCTGCCCGGATGCCGTTGAAGCGGGATGTAAGATAAATCATTCCAGGTCGTTTTTTATTGAGGCTTGACAGCACATTCACTCACCTTTAGGACTGTCGGTTACGTCGGCGTCATTGAAGAGCTTTGCGAGCGGCAGTTGGTCCTCGTCACAGCTGGCCACATAGTCGACAGTGCCGACTTGATCCAGATACAACACCAAGAACAAGATAATAACAACTTACAAGTCGCGGGTCGTGCCAGAGTCCGAGTGGATCGCGGAGGGGTTCCCTTGTAACAGAGAGAGGAACCCAAACCCATTAACCCTCTTCCAGCATCACTCAAACGAGACTGACCAGATACCTCGTTCCGCGTTACGGCGAGTGGGTGATCATGTCGATTGCAGCCACTTCAACCCCGACTCTTCCATTAACGATACTAATGCTACTTCCTTGTCCGCCTTTGACCCGAAGTTAGGCGATATTGACCGTCACAGACACCTTCTCGTTGAAGGGTGGGCTAGTCTAAGTCTACAATTACGGTGCTGCATCATTTTATACTACGGGTTTTCTGTGCCAGATCAAACAGGGTAGATAGGCATGAAGAGAACTTATGCCGGATGAAGGTGCAGTGGACCTCCGTAGTGGAACCATTCGCGGAGGGAGGAGACTCTGGCAGCCTTGTATTCGCCAAGGATGGAGACTGTGTGTCCCTATGGCACAAAAACCTATATTCGCTCTCGCTGTGGTCAATATGTGAGGACATATCAACTCGGCTTGACGCAGACTCGTTCTTCTACAGCCCAAGCGATCTACCTCATTCCAAACCTTCCGCTGTGTAAGTTGAAATCTTGAAGCAGGTGATCACCCCTCTTAGGACCACCCTTCCATTAGATTTTACAAGGTCCGCCGTGCCGAAAAGTACTACTTCCAATAGTCGACAAGCTATAATAGATGATATATTCTATAGTTAAACAAAAACGGAACAGATAAGACTTTCCTGCTTACTAGAAGTTGCAGTCCCTATTTTATTGCTGGCTAATTTATTTTGTACACCCGGAATGCTTCGATACTTGCATTACCCATTCCCCAATATCCACCCTGTAAGCTTGCCAGTGTCATAATTCATTGGGTAGTGAAATTGTTGCAAATTCCTGGGATGCAATCAATCAAAGAGAAAGGCCATATTATCTCTGCACCCTCATTTGCCTTGTTCAGGCGTTTCTTATTGGACAGATGGTGGATAAATATTGGGTAAGTTTGAGCCGACTTATATTAATTCGCAACTTAATTGGCTGGCTCGCCAACGAATACGCTAACAAGAAAGATGTATTCTAGCCAGTAGTTGCGGGCTAGTCCACTTGCGGTTAGTCTGGCCTGTAGAGTTACGGCGACCCAGCGAACCAACAACCACCAGCACTTGGACAAATTCAAGCATGAGTTTAGTTATAACACTTATGCCCGGCTTCGACTTGATAACGCAAGCCAATTGATTACGATAAAGACAGAGAGAAGATGATAACCAGCGTGCACCGGCTGTGCATGGCTCGGCGGCTTTTCGCGCGGCCAGTGAGCGTAGGATCATGCCTCTTCAGCTCCACGTCGACCCCCATTGTGGCTCCAGGGGTGAGTGAGAGTCAAGTCTTGGATGAGCTACGCGTGCTTCTCGAAGCTGGCTGGGCACTTGATCAGCCTCGCAGTGGCATTGAGAAGTCCTACTACTTCAAGACATACACAAAGTGCCAGGTATGTGGCTAGTTCAGGATGTACTTCACCAGGACCTAACACTCTGAAACTAGGACTTCTTCAATACTGTTGCCATACGGAGTAAAGCGAAAAACCACCACTCCACCATGACAATTGTAGATACTGCCTTTCTTATAGTTCTAATTAACCCAGCCATGACTGACTTGCTAACTCTCCGCCTTAGAAAGCTGGCTCCGTCCACGTTCACTGGACAACCCATCATCCCCGTGGGCTCACACTTCTGGATACCCTCATGGCTCGATACTGTGATGAACAGTCTACATCGATTGGAACCGTAGATCAGAGTCAGAGCAAGAAATGCCATCCTGCGCCGGCATAGGCGTTCCCTGGATAGCTCTTATACCTTCATAATGGGGCAGTAAGCCAGTTTGATTATGCATCTTAAGGAAAGCCATGTTCTCAATATTGTACTCTATAATACCCCGGTCATTATTAGTATGCTCCCTCTGCCTCAATAAACGTTTCACATGTCGAGTTTTGTGTAAATGTTTATCCTATTGCTTCCACCACAGTGCTGGGTTTTGTTCGCCGAGAAGAAGAAGCCACAGTCCGATTCAGGCTGGATGGTGCTCCCAGGGAACATATTGGCTCCACAGTAACACTCGCTGAAATATTCTACGCCAAAGTATTTTGTGCCATTGCAGAAGGAGGCACACAGTTCTACCGTCATCTTTTCGTTGTACGTGAAGCTGCCTGACAGGGTTCGGTTACTGGGGGAGTCGCTGTAGCATCCCGTGTAGTTGTACCCCGGTATCTGAGGGCTGGTGATGGGTACCCATTTGTCGTCTTTATAGATAGCTATCCGGTATCCTGCACCGCATGTCTCAGAGCTATCACCGCCGCATGGCTGGTTACACTCCGACTTGGGTGCTTGCATGCTGGAGTTACTTCTCGTGTCTCCGCAGTAACATTCAGTTCCATACTCAAGGCCGAAGAACTGGTAGCCTTTGCAAAGGCTAGAGCATGCGGCAATCGTCATGTTTTCTTTCACAAAGGCAGCACTCGTGAGGGCCCTTGACTCAGGGGTATCGGTGTAGCATCCATCAAAGGTGTAGTCTGGCATCGTGGGATCGTTTGAGCCAAAGGGGGCACAGGTTGAGCTCAGGTCTGCGGTGTTCTTGAACGAATCTGATATCACTGCTCCGCCGCTCGTGAGGGAGACATCAAATTTGGCATTGGACCTGTACGCAGCTGCCAGGGTAAGGTTTCCAGCATAAAGCGTATAAGGACCAACAGTCGTCTGTGGTGACATTGGAACCGACTGAGTCGTCAAGGCTGGAGTCACACAGCAACTTCGCGGCGTTTTAGTCGTAACAGAGAGTTTAACACTTCCTGTATTGGCATTTTTCCGGACCTTTTGTGAAATTATCAGCCTATTGTCGTCCTCTTCACTGTACCGTCTCCATCAGGAGCTCCATTTGGGAAAGGTTGGGTTTCATACAGCGGCTACTACAACGAGATTCCCGGGCACATTTCCTCCCACAACGCAGCTCTGCCTGGGTTGAAGCATAATCGTATCCTGAACAGGGTAACCGGACTCATTGTTATTGTAAACAACAGTCTCTCCAGTGTTCAAAACCACTCGTACATTGAACTTAGAGATGGCAGTTTCGACGGGGAAGCGGGCCTCAAATCCATAGAACTAGAACCACAATTAGCACTTATACTACGAAATGATCAAGGGAGGGGGGAATATAAGGTGACTAGTCATTTACAGCAAAGGAATCATCAAAGCCCTCAGCGGTGCCCTTGTACTCAGTAGTGATAATACAAGATCCGCAGCTAGAGCCTCCCGTACGGTCCTTGTAGACAAGCTCGACCTTTGAGATGGAAGTGACCGGCCGGGAAGTGGTTCTGACCCGAATTTCGCCAGTGAAGGCGATGGTGCTGCCGTTGCTAGCCAGGGAGAGCTGCAGCCTGCCTGGCTTCACTTCGTAGGGCGCTATGGGGGCTGTCAGGTTCACCCCCGAGGGAACGACCTCTATCATCTTCTGGAGTACTCTGGCACATGTAGATCGAAAAGTAACTTGGTCCGCCAATGCCTTGATTGTGACATTCCGGTCGGCCGTGAAGACCTTCATATCTGCGTCCCGCTGGCTTCGCTTCGCCGTTGTGCTAGTAAGCGGGTTTCCAGCCACTCCGCCAACAAAGTCCACTGCCACCTTCTCGTCGAAGGAAACGGTTGAATCAAACAGCTGAAAGTCGTTTGGCGCAGACCCGGGGACAACGATCTGGGGGAAGTTTGAGGCGTGGACTCCACCCATCGTGTGTCCGCACGCAGTGACGGCGATCATGTCCGAGACATTGAACCCCATACGCGTAAACTGGTTGATAAAGGTGCCCTGGGAGTTCTCAGGCTGCGGCACCCCAATCGGCCCCCGTGCGGTGGCGTCGATTCTCCCGGTCCTGACCTGGACGACCGGCCCTCCGCAGGACCTAACGGCTGTGTAGACGCCCAGAGCTATCAAGTCAGCCATGGAAGACCGCGTAGAGAAGAAGGGGGTATAGGTCTCCAGCGTGGTGTTGAACCCTGCCCCGATGTTTTCGCCCCCTTTGCCGCCCAGCTCAAACACGATCGAGGCATCCAGGCCGCCCACACCTGTAAAGGAGTTTCCTGTGGCCATGTCATGGAAGGCAGTGCGCACCCACTCAGCGGATGCGACTCGAGACGGGCCTTGCTGAGAAAACGAGCACGGAGTGACGCCGGCTGAGAATCCTCGGGCATGGTAGCCGGTGTTGAGAAACATGAGGTCTTCTAGCTCGTCAATGGAGGCCGGCCATGTTGGCGGTGCCAGGACTCCAGAGAGAGCAAACGCCGCCCATACGGCGGACAAGTTGATCAGCATCCTCAGCGTCGTCCTTTTGCTCTTTTTCGTGGAGCCAGAGGCCCTTTGATAGATAGTGACGATAGGTATATGTATAGCTAGCAGCTAACGGAGGACAGCAGGTATAGAGTTAGCAGTTATATTTGCGTTCCAGCCAGGCCGTCAGCCTTAGCTCGCACACCTTGCCTGCTCGATTGAGAAGTATGGAGTGCTCCGTAGCTGCTGGATGTTGGCATCGGCAGCTCAGGGGGTATAGCTACGGAGTGCAGATTCTAGTGCATCTTCGCCTGTAACTCTGCGGCTCCCGGCACCATTATCACTGCGTTGCCAGTTGCCAGCCACCCTCCGTAAGTAACTAAAGCATGCCTCGATTTGTCCAGGCAGCTTCACATCTCAAGAGAGTTTCGTTCTTTCGGCTGTTTACTTGGGTATCTTGCGTGCCAATTGATCCTTGATCCATGCTGCGTCGGAGGTCCAGGGGTCAAAGAGAAAAGAAACAATTTCCAGTGAGCTGCAGCTCCGAGGACTAAAAATGTGCCCAAGTGGATCGCGCTAACTCGTAAGTTTGTGTAGTTACTTAATATAATGGTTGAGATCTGGGCTGTTGGACTCGTCTTTGCTTTTTCTCCTGATGCTTTGCTGGTGGCTTCACAATATGGCATGCTTAAAATAGTGGCTCTCCTGGTCAATATCACCTGGTATTAAGTGCGAATGTCTCAGTTTTGCATGCTGAACCAGGCATTTACGACATTTCCTCTCCTCTCGCTGCAGTTGTTCGCCGAAGAAAAGCTGGGGAAGCAAATATGCCTGTCTCAGCTGAGCTGGAGCCCCAGTCACCATCCTTAATGATAGGTGATGAGTGTAATCTAGCCGTGGTTATTCTCTAAGCAAGAGGAGTTTTCTTTTTTTTTTTTTTTTTTTTTTTTTAATCGTTAAATCTCGTACAATCTATCGTCGGAACACAGATTGAGACACAAATATTGATGATGCAACGCTGTGTGAATGCTATAGTAAAGCATGTCTATCTAATGCGGAATGGCCAAATGGCTGCCAACGGTGGTCAGCCATAAAAAGATCTTGTGTAATTACAAGAGAGAAAGAAAAAGGGAAAGAAAAGAAAAAAGACCAAGAAGAAGACCAGCATGAAATAATGCACCTCTAAACGCCGTAGGTTTTGAAAAAGATGAATTCGTGAAACGGAAATTAGTAGTTGAAAATCATGAGCGAAGGGTTGAGAAGCAGGGGGAGGAGAGCATGGAGAGATAGGGTCACGGCCATAGGGACGACGGCGGCAACCTCTTTGATCTCCCAGCCTCGAGGCGCAAAATTTCCAAGATATATCATCCCGCCAATCAAGGGGATCAAAATAGCATACATCCACTTGAAGCTCTTGAATATCTTGGGTATTTCCTTGAAGAAGTTAGAGTCGACTTTCTCCTTTGCCGTAGCACCCCATTCCATCTTGATGGAGAACATATGGGAGAGGAGTGCTAAGCTGAGGTGGAAAGAGACACCTCCAAAGAATATAGCCATCATGGGCATCCATTTGAAGTTCTCGACGAGGGCGGACCACAGGCTTTTTTCCGACAGACGCGACCGTATTATGGCAAGGGTTACGTTGCCGAGAAGAGAGAACACAACAATAAGACTCAGAAGTACTGGATAGACTGTTAGCCATGTCTGAAGGGATGCTGATATTGGGAACGCATACCTTTCCAAGACTCGATATAAAATTTGTCCAAGTAGCCATTGAACCAGCCTACCAAGAAGTAGTTGAGGATAGTGAGCGGGAATCCAGAGGCCAGAGCATAGTCTAAGATACGTTAAAATTGGCATATTCCCGTGGACAAGGGTTGAAGAAAAAAAGCTTCTTACAGGAAGAGATATACCCCAGGATGGTAATCTTGGATGAAAGCTGCATGTTGCACCAGAGGAATGTCATGAAGAGCTTCGTAAAAGGCCCCTTATATATCCAGGTATAGATCGGGTTGAACACTAATTCGTTGCATCCATATGCGTATCTTCAGGGAAGGGTTAGCATCTCTCGGATAATCCCGAAGAGATAGAAAGACGAAGACCTACTTTTCCCATCTTGCCAGTTCGTCGTAGATAGTTAGGGATACACCCTCCTTGAACTCATCCCCATGGTAGCTTGCCAGACGAACGATATCACCGGCAATTTGGAGCCGAAGTGCAATGTCGAAATCTTCTGACACATGACTCTCAGACCAGTAGGCTACATAACCATCGTCCGGTTTCCCTACTGATTGAACAGCTGGTAAGGTTAGTCGGGGTGAGTATTTAGAGTAGACGTGGCGACTACGGCCAGGGAGAGCGTACCTTTCCAGCGAAGGAATGCATTGTGGCCGACAAACGGCGCCGTTTCACCACTGCCAACGGCAAACCGGATGGAGGAGTAAATAAGGTTGGTAAAGAATGTGATTCCGTTCTCAAAATAGTCCCCAACGACTTGCATGACGCCTGTTGAATGCTGGATGATGGCCACTTCAGGGCTTAAGAACATTTCCGCTGCCCCATAGAGTAAACAATCGACCGGCTGCGAATTCTGTTAGTATTTCCGTTTAAACAAACGTGCTAAAGAGTAAATGGGGAGCCTACGACTCGAGTATCAGCGTCAACAATAAGAATTGCTTCTCCGATTCGTATATCTCCAGCGGCCTTGATCCGACTATCAGAGGCGAGAACCTCTTGCAGGGCCAGCTTATAATAAGCCTCTTCCTGAGATGCATCTATCATTTCTGTTGTTTCCAGGGTCTCTGCTAGCATCTCCAGCAACTTGTCTTCCACCTTGTTTGAGACGTTGAGTGCAAAATTCATGTTGGAGGCCTTCTTAAATCTGCCCTTCCGGATATACCCGTCTTGGTTGTTCTTTGGCCGCGAGACCCATCCAATGTTATTGTCATGGTAGAAACTGATACGTTCTTCTCGCTGCTCCTCGGTAAGATATGCGAGGCCGTCATCATTGACAAAGATTGTGGCAGTCCCTATTCTATGATATTAGCTAAAGCATCAGGGGAAAATGGGTGAGTTTTTTGTCTAGACGCACCTCCGTGGGATTCGTAATATGATATAGCAGCTTTCAGACTAGTTACTGTAGGAATAATAACTCCAGTCAAGGATTCTGTGTACACCGGCAGTTGGATGGTAATGCGTGGTGGCTTAAAGCCCAAGGCATATGCCTGCGAGAGGTCTGGTCGGACAGGGGAGTAGAATCGAGAATTCGTTTTGAGTGTCTTGATAGGCCCAATCGCCTGGAAGATATCTGAAAAGATCACTATGACGAAGAAGACGCTGAAAAGCATGAATATCGGCAGGGAGGCCACCAATGCGAATCTAAGCCAGGATCCGTCAACGAGAGATTGCAGCATGAGATTGGAGACACCAAATCCCACAAGGAGAACTACAATCAGGCACATCCCGAGGCCCACGAATATGGAGCTTGTCAAGGCCAGGGGCCGGTCCAGGGACTCTATCGGTTTCGCTGCTTCCTCGTCCGGGATACCCAGCGGGGAATTTGCCAGTCCACTGGCCTCTTTGTTCCAAAGGGGCACGAAGTTGCGGGTTGAGGCAGCTGGGGACCCGATACTGGAGTGTGGAAGAGAGTAGCTGGGTGACTGCGAGGGAGCAATTACGGAGATGCGGGTTCCGCATATCTACTGCAGGTGTCAGCGCTTGCCTGTTTGATACCTACTTGGGCTAAGGAACTGGGAATGACAACATACGAATGCAAGGAGCTTCTCCTCGACGTCCTCGGCATGGATGAGGATCTTTTCTAGCTCGTCATGCCAGATCAATAGGAGTCTCTCTTCCCTGACCAAGGCCACGTACTGAAATTTCTTGACTGCGCTTGATGGGGAGCAAGCAATCTCTGCTAGAGATTCGACCACTTGGACCTGGAACCCGCTAGGGAGAATCAACTCGGTCTGTTCTGGCTGGAGGATGGAGAAGATGATCCTGGTGATCTCTGTGGCCATGGTAAAGGCGACGGCAACATTGATCTTCTGCACTGCGCCGAGCAGTAACGGATGGACCAGATCCGGTTCGGAGATGTAGACACCCCGGGATTTTCGAAGTAGAAGTCCATGGTATTCACTGTTTGGATCTGATGGGGGAGGACACCATTTGCTAGTAGCAAGTCTTGCATGCAGATATTTAATTATCTAGGGCTGTCAGTTCTGGGGGTCCATGGCATTGGATTGAATTTGAATTGCATTGAATGGATGGATGGGATAGAAATGAAGCTCTTACAGCTTTATATTTGGCATCATCATCAATTCCAACTGGAGTCTGCGTCCCTGAGTGAGAGATTGGTCGACTATATGACTCAGGGACAGAAGACAGGCCGGACTGCCTTGGAGGAGACGGCGCTGCAGACTGCTGCTGCTGCTTGTCCGTCTTTGAGCGTTTCCAGAACATCCCTGCGATATAGCTGTGTACGGACAAGCATGAACAATTGGATGGCCTGCTGATGGAAGGGATGTGAACCCCCTTAAGAGAGGAAGCAGAAGACCATCCGGGGACACACCGTGCACAGAAATATCAAAACGTCAGACAGCTCCGGTGGCTACCAAAGCAGAGCAAGCATTGAAGACATGAATCAGACAGAGAGAGCTAAGGAGCCGACAGAAGAGAAAAGCAACGCCGTCTTTCTTCTCTCCTCTCATCGCCTTCCCCTGCCCACAGCTGAAGCCGCCAACCAGCCTCATTAGCTGGCGAGCTTTCCCCTTCACCCCCTCGCATCTGTCTGTCTCAGGGCTCTTTTTTCCCATCAGGGACATGCCTGTCCGCGGTAAGGAAGCAGGCAAGTCGAGCAACCCCGAGGGGCTCCGCAGAAGCCCTCCGGACATGCTATGCCGAGACTCGACGGCGTGGCAACGCCCGGGTAAGTGATCCCTGCATGGAAGATATTGGAAGATATCACACCTCCAGCGCTACCGATACACGGGCACGCCCTTTTTCTTTTCTTTAGCTTCTCTTGCCGTAATCTTGCTTGCTTCCGCCACGCCCCCCCTGGCGAGGTTAGTCGAGGGCGAGACGGACGCCGCGTATGGCCCATCTGCTCACAGCTACCCTGCCGGCCAACAATGCTGCAGAGTGCATATTACTGTGCTTCGTTGCCTAGATGGGAGATGATGACAGGACCGGGGTGATTAATGTCCGCCAGCCAACGAGGTGCGTCTCGTCAAGCGAAGGGCATGCCTGCAATCACGAAAGCAAATGTCCCAAGGACTGGTCGGCTGTACCCTGTGCGTCTGGACAGGGGGGAGTGTCTCTCTTCATGAGCTGTCCAAAATGCAACCGTAATTTATATATGGAACGTGAGGCAGCAGAAGGAGAGCCAGACAGGCGAATGTTGTCCCAGGGGTTTGCAGGACTTAGCCTAATATCTCCCATCCAGCCAGCAGCCAGCAGCCAGCCAGATATCACAGGCAGCTCCAAGGCAGCTCGCTGAGTCGTACTCCGTATACGGCGGGCTCCCGAGGTGATTCCCAGATGCTCGGGGCCTCCGCATCGACCTGGCAGCCGGCGTCCTTCGTCGTGTCTCCGTCGTAGCAGCAGTAGCAGCAGTAGCAGCAGTAGTGGGAGGCTACGACGTTCGTCGACTTAAGGACGCAGATCAGATCCGCCGGACCAGCAAAAGCAAGCAAAGAAGAAACGGAAAAGAAGGGAAAAAGCAAGCATCCTGCTGCACGCAAGGAAAAAACCGTCGTCGTATTCGCTAGTTAGTTAAGGGGTCCTCCACCGGCCAGGACAAGCCAAAACGGCCTCCTATCACCAGCCTCGCACAGCTTCTCGCAGCTGTCCCGAGTGTCATCGAAATGCCGAAGAACACCGCGAGAAGGGGAAATTCTCTCCGCCCGGCGGGTCGAGGGAGCAGCAAGTTAGTTAACTCGCATGTCAATTGAGCAAAGGACATCTATCTGCGTTGACAGCAGACGAAGCAGTGCCATGGCCCAGGGATCCCCCCTGTCCGCCAGGTGGGCAGCGACAGAGAGGCCCCCTTCAACATTCCAACTAGCCTGAGACAGCAGATGAGATACCTCTGGTTCGTTACATGCATCTGGGCCCGATCTTATCTCCTCGGACGACCAGGGAGATGCCATGCAGTGCGCGGCGCAAGTGAGCATGTTGGACGGATAAGAGATTGTGCCTATATTATGGGCCGCCAGGGGGGGAGGGGAGTGTATGGCAAATCGAGTATATACGGAGCCAGATTGTCTGACCAAGGCGACGGCGGACTGGCAAGCTAGCATAAAGAAGACACGATGCACCGGCTGGGCGACTGTGATATCGGGCTCTCCAGAAGCTGATGCCAGGCAGAGAGATGGAGAAAGCAGCTTTGCAGGACCCCTTTTCCAGCAGCGTGGCCACCTCTGTGCGGACGGCCTCATACCACTCGCAGCCGTCCGACAGACAGCCAGGCCGGCGCCAGCAGTTCAAGTCGTACCGACTGAACGGCGAGTATGAGCGGCCGTGGCTGGGGGACAGCCGCCTGAAGAGATCGCGCGTTGGCTCCTACATCATCTGGGGCTTCATCGGGCTGGGGCTGGCCCTCAGTGCGTACATCAACTTCACCGTCACCCAGAAGGTGTCGAAGCACCAGGCAGGTTACATACATACATACATGTTCATTACTTGGTTAATTGCTGTTTGATTGCTGTTTAACTTGCTTGCTTTTCTGCTGAGAGTGTGGGCTCATCGCTAACTGGTATCTATAGTACTGCCTTATACTGGACGATCAGTTCTCTTCGCTCAATGAAGCCACATGGAACCGTGAGGTCCAGGCATGTTTGATCTCCCCCGCCTGCTGTTTTACAGCGTGCAGCGGAAGAAGCGCTAACCGCAGGCATAGATCGGGGGATTCGGGACCGGAGCCTTTGACTGGACTACGACGGACGAGAAGAATGCGTTTGTCGACGGCGAGGGCCTGCATATCGTCCCTACGCTGACGACAGAGTCGACCTCGATCACCCCCGAGCAGCTGGTCGACGGCTACACACTGAACTTGACCAAGGCTGGCGGCGACGGGTCCTGCACAGGAACATCCAACGCTGCCTGTTCGATCCGCTCGAACAAGACGACAGGGGCCATCATCCCGCCAGTCCGGTCAGCGCGGCTTAACACCCGGGGAAAGAAGAGCATCCGCTACGGGCGAGTGGAGGTTGTAGCGAAGATGCCGCGCGGAGAATGGCTTTGGCCAGCCATCTGTATGCCTGCCAGCCCCTATATCAGCCAGTAGGCCTGCTATAACTGTCTGCTTCTTACTGACATGGCTAACCAGGGATGCTGCCGGTCAACGAGACATACGGGCCCTGGCCATCGAGCGGCGAGATCGACCTCGTAGAGACTCGCGGGAATGACGTTGACTATCCCGCTGGTGGCAGAGACATCATGTCTAGCTCCTTGCACTGGGGTAAGTCTCCTTCGTCCCCGCTAATTCTGCGCGCCTATAACTGACTGCTGATCGACAGGACCAACGCCGGAGACGGATTCGTTCTGGCGGTCGACGAGAGGCAGGGCACTGCGGCGGACTGACTTCTCCAAGGGCTTCCATACCTTCGGCATTGAGTGGTCGAAGGACTACCTGTTCACCTACATTGACAGCCCGTTGCAACAGGTCCTGTTCTGGAGCTTCGACAAGGACCAGACCATGTGGCAGAAGGGCCACTATGAGGGCGTGGCCGTCAACTCCTCGCTGGTCAAAGATCCCTGGTCTCAGACAGGCAATCCAAACACCCCCTTCGACCAGCCTTTCTTCCTCATCCTCAACGTCGCCGTGGGCAGCACAAACGGCTGGTTCCCTGACGGCAAAGGCGGCAAGCCGTGGACTGACGTCGGCCAGGCAGCCTCAGACTTTTACTCCAGTACGTAACTAATTTGACTTGCCCCCTATTCACTCCGTGTCAGAGATCAGGTCAGCTAATTCATCCGCACAGGCATGGACAAGTTCTACCCGACTTGGCCCAAGGACAACAGCCGCGGTATGACCGTCAGGTCAGTAAAGATGTGGCAGGAGGGTGCCTGTGGGTGATATAAAACACAGCATCATTGTAATAAACCCAGTAACTAACGAGCAAGTTCCTCCGTCACCTTGTGATAAGTGCTGCATTTGATTGCTATCTCTCGTATTATTTACTTCATCGTAACCGCGCTAAGCTGTCTGCGGGTGAAATTGCCGAGATAACTAGCACTACTCAGCGTTATCACCGTCATATTGAACTCTGCTCTCAAAGCTGATCCCTGCAGCCGGAATTACAGCGAAGGATGCCGAGCAGGCCAACAGCATACCTACTTACAGCGCGGTGAGCGAGTGTTGACTCTCGATAAGCTGGCCAGGAGAAAAAAAGCAAAGAAAATGCCCAAAAAAAGATCAAAACCTAATCTCAGACAGGGGCAAGGGGTGCAATATATTGACCAGAGTGATGCAATGTCCTCTTTTTTCTCAATGTCTCGCCTCCAGGGATACCAGGGTTGGGCTCCGTATCTTGTTGCCAGGCCCGCTCTCCTCCAGGCTAACTCCGACAGATGGCGAGTGGCATGGCGATGCTTTGGAGCCGCGAGTTGCAGTTTCACCAGACTCCTAGGGAATTTGCCAGGGGGGTGTCGTTTGACCTGTTCCTCTCGATGAACTCCTGCACGACAGGCTGTGGTAGCAATTGCATACAGACAGACCAGATCTGTGCTACCAGTGGGTATCCCACACGGCAACTGTGCTCTGCATGCAACGGACGGACTGGCCGGAGCAGTGAATATCTTGCATAAAAAGGAACGAGGTCGCAATCACACGAGCCAGCGTTCGCCCATCACACCCTTGGTCCGGCCCATGGGAGAGGATCAGCCGTGGAATGTTCGTCCAGAGGACCCTTCATGCCCCAGCCCGCCACTGGTGAACTCCGGGGATGCTAAATTTGTCCTTTTTTATTTTTATTTTTATTTTTTATTTTTTATTTTTATTTTTTTTTTTTTTTTTTTGTTTTTAGCTCTCCCTAGTCCTCTCTGGCTTCGGTGTATGCTTCGAGTTAGCATGTCCAGCTCATCTCGGTGCCCCCCTCCCCCCAAGTGCAGTTTGAATGACAAACCGTTACCAGCAATACCCCTGAAATAGGAAATCAGTCTGGACTTTCTTTTGCTCTCCATTTGCGGCCCCATACCCCCCCATAGCTGGCCCAGCTCATATCTGTCATTCCTGCAGAGAACGTAAAATAGGAATGTCTCAAAGCTATATGCAGGAGTTTCGGCGTTGGTGCTATCATGCCCGTGCCATCATCACACATCAACTGGCGAGACGCACGCACCGGCTTCTTTCACGGCCGAATCACTAGCAGCCCTGTTGGATTGGGCTCTTCCCTCGCTAGAGCCAAAGCAAAGAGAAAAGGTGGCATGACCCTTCACTCCAGAGTAGGGGCGGTGTCGCTAAAGAGAGAAAACGTATAAATTTGGCTCCTCTGGGCAATTCTTATTGTTGATCTTGGATCTCTTGGGACCATCTGTCCGGAGTATAGAACCTGTGGAGTGCATTTGTTTTTACAGCTGAGGTAGGGATCTTTCGAGCTGGTCGTCCGATCATGCTGGAGCTGTCAGGCTGACTTGGTACAACAGATATAAATCTGTTCTCCTACCAACAGCGAGTGAGGCAGATATAGACAGACAAGTGCATACACGCGGAGAGAGAGACAGAGAGAGAGAGAGAGAACACGACTGCGCCTGTCCTGAGTTGGCTGCTATAGGACTATCAGCCTGGACAAAATGGCGGGAATACTCAGCGTCGTCCACATTATCATTATTTTTATTGTACGTTTCAAGTCATCAACAGACTCACTCATAACTGTCGTTGTTTCAGCCTCCTTTCAACGTGCTAATATATACAAGTTCTCGCTGCTTGCTAAGCTTGCCCATGGAGCAGCTTTGATCCCAAGGGCAGATGCTGATACCTGGACGTACCTGGGATGTTACACCGATCAGGTGGGAGCAAGAACCCTTGGCCAGGTCGGGTACACTCTTGGTGGTCCTGGAAACATGACCGTTGCCAACTGTCAAAATGGATGCGCGTCTCAGGGATACTCGCTTGCTGGAGTTGAGTACAGCAGCGAATGCTGGTGTGATAATCAGCTACGGAACGGCGGCGGCCCTGCACCTGATGGAGAGGCAATGTGCTCAATGCCTTGCAATGGCAACCCTGAGCAGAAATGCGGAGGGCCGGGAAGGCTAAACCTGTATCAAAATACCGCCATCAAGCCAACAGACACCATGACAACCTCAGCTCCTTCGACAGAGACCGGGTCACCGACGACTACATCGGTCCCTGAGCCGACTCAGGGGCTGCCAGACGGCTGGCAGTATTCCGGCTGCTACCAGGACAATGTCAACGGAGGGCGTGTCATGTTCAAGATGTTGCCTGATAGCTCAACCCTCACGATTGAATCCTGTGTTGCCATGTGTGTCAAGCTGGGCTATACTGTTGCAGGAGCTGAATACTCCAAACAATGTTTCTGTGACAATTATCTTCGGAACGCTGCTCCGCAAGCAATAGAATCTGAGTGCTCTATGACCTGCAGCGGCAATACACAGCAGAAGTGCGGTGGCCCTAGCCGATTGAGTGTTTATTCAAAGGGTAACCTGACCGTTCTCCCTATCCCTGTGCCGCAGACCGGAGGCCTGCCAGGTGGTTGGAAGTATCAAGGGTGCCTCCAGTAAGATGACATCCCCCTGTTCGTGGATGCAAAGCCAAACTTACCATTCTCTCTAGGGATAATGTCAACATGAAGAGAACTTTCCCTTACCAGATTGTTGACAAGACGAACAACACTGCTACAAACTGTCTCAGCCGTTGCTCTAAGTTTGGATTCGGAGCAGGTGGAATGACGTACTCGGAAGAATGCTGTGAGCTTATCCTATCTGAAATATATCGACTGGCTCTGTAACTAATCAGCAATGCCTAGTCTGTGGGGATTTCGAAGATATTGCGGCTGCCGGAGCCAAACTTGTACCTGAGGCTATGTGTAGCCAGACTTGCTCTGGTAATGCAACTGCTATATGCGGTGCTGGCAACCTGATCACATACTACAGGTGGATGGATGAACCCCTGCAAAAATGGAACCGCCCAACTGGAATCAATGCCGGCCGCTACGACTTCCTGATCGGTGGAGTGCTCGTTCCCCTTATTACCACCGTTGGTATTAATGGCAAGATCACTTTCCAGGAAAAATCTGGAACTGGAGATCCAAACACCACTGGAGCATATGAATTTGACCCTTATTATGAGAAAGATTTCAGCAAGGCTTGGCGCGAAATGCATGTTAAGACTGACATCTTCTGTGCTGGAGGACTTGTTCTCCCAGACAAGGTTGGTAGACAACTGACGGTTGGTGGCTGGTCTGGCATATCAACCGAGGGTGTCCGACTCTACTGGCCTGATGGCTCTCCCGGGAAGCCTGGAGTAAATGACTGGCATGAAAGTCCAGATGACTTGAGATTGCAGAACGGAAGATGGTACCCCACTGCGATGACAATGTCGAACGGCTCTATCCTGGTTGTTGGAGGCGAGGAAGGATCAAATGGTGCACCTGTACCCACTCTAGAGATCCTTCCCCGAGTTGGCCCGGTCTTGTTCATGGACTGGTTGAAGAGGACTGACCCAAACAACCTTTATCCTTACCTTACACCACTTCCTGGCGGTAACATCCTAGCTGCTTACTACAACGAGGCAAGAATCTTGGATGAAAGGACATTTGACACTGTTAAAACCCTGCCAAACATCCCAGGAGCTGTCAATAATGATGCCGGAGGCCGTACGTATCCTCTAGAGGGTACCATGGTACTTTTACCCCAGAAAGCTCCTTATACCGAACCCCTTGGTGTCTTGATTTGCGGTGGCTCTACGCCTTATGGAGGCGATGCTTTAGATAATTGTGTTTCTATTCAGCCAGAAGTACCTAACGCCGAATGGGTGATAGAAAGAATGGTAAGCCAACTCCTCTCTGTAAAGACGAACAAACAAAAATTATCTTTTCTTTCTAACGACGTTACTATATAGCCTTCTAAACGAGTTCTTACCTGTATGGCAGGCCTTCCTGATGGAACGTTCCTGATTCTGAATGGAGCAAGGAAGGGTGTTGCCGGCTTCGGCCTCGCTGAAGACCCCAATCTCGGGGCTGTTTTATATGACCCTTCAAAGCCGGTCAACCAGCGTATGAGCATCATGGCAAACACCACTATTGCCCGCATGTACCATTCAGAGGCAATTCTGATGGCAGACGGCCGTGTCTTGGTTAGCGGCTCAGACCCGCAGGACCCTCGATTCCCCCAGGAACGCCGAGTTGAGGTTTTCCTCCCCCCTTATATCCTGTCAGGAGCCCGCCGCCCAACATTTACCATTGCCAACAAGGACTGGGCCTATGGCGGGAAATATAAGATCAAGATCACATCCGGCAACCAATCAAGAATCAAGATATCCTTAATGGGCATGGTTTCGAGCACCCATGGAAATAGCTTTGGCTCCCGAACTATCTTCCCTGCCTTCTCTTGCTCTTTCGGTACTTGTACCATCACAGCACCACCGGATAGCCACACATGCCCTCCAGGATGGTTCATGCTATTCGTACTCGATGGCCCAACTCCTTCCGTTGCCTCCTTCGTACGAATTGGCGGAGATCCTGGTAGACTGGGAGATTGGCCCGCAACTGGTGGATTCCCACTTCCGGGTGTTTAAATATTAATGACATGAGCCATGAGATATAACGATCTGGAGGAATAGATATATACGGAGTAACCAAAGATAATTTAATAGTTGCTAGAATGGAAGATATTAACTGCTACATTTCGTCAGGTGCAGGTAATTTCACCACTAATACACATGCTTTGATATGAGTATTG